TGGGGTCCAAGGAGACACCCCAGCTCCCTACCCCACATCCTGCTTCGTATTTGTGAAACTGGGGTTCTCTGTTCATGTCATCATCTTCTGTCCCCACTGAGAAGGAAAGCAACACCACAGCAGTACATTGCTCCCTGGGGCACTCTTTCTGTCACCCCCTAATATTTGACCAGAATTCCCTTATCATCCCAGACCGGGTACAGTTGTCCCTTTTTACACACTCCCACAGTACCCAATACTTAATTCACATTGCATTGTAATATACCTGTTTGAGTCTTTCTTCATCACTAGACTATACACTCTGAAATCAGCAATTGTCTTTTGCTGGGCTTAGCACATCTGACTCATGAGAGAAGAGAGTTGAGACCTCCAAGTCCCACATAGGCATATGACATGGCAGACAGGAAAGCTCAGGTTGCTGTGTCCTCTGCCATCCTCCTAACCCTGGAGGTTCCAAGTGTCTGATTGGAAGACAGACACAATACTTTCAGCATGGCACACCCCACTGGCTCTCACACCTGTCTTTTCTTTGCAGTTGCTCCCTTGGACAATTTGAAGCCCTCTCTCCTCCAAGGGCTCTCAATGGGTCAGAACCATTTTAGTGATTTGTGTGCTTCATTCATCACAATGACTGGAGGATGTCCTACTGATAATTATTTGGTGGGGGCAAAGAAGGCTCGACATCTTGCAATGCTTAGGACAATCCCCTGCAGAGAAGAGTCATCCACATAATGCCTGATGTTCAAATGTTTCACCAGGGCTTCATGTAGGTAAAATCTTTGTTGTGTTTTCCATATAAACACAAAGCATTTCTTGGAAGGTTTTTAAATATGGTGAATTTTCCAGGAATGTGACTATCATGTCAACAGAGGGAGGGTTAAAGTCAGGAAACAACAGGTGCTGGAGAGGATGTGGAGAAATAGGAACATTTTTACACTGTTGGTGGGATTGTAAACTAGTTCAACCATTATGGAAAACAGTATGGCGATTCCTCAAGGATCTAGTACTAGATGTACCATATGACCCAGCCATCCCATTACTGGGTATATATCCAAAGGATTATAAATTATGCTGCTATAAAGACACATGCACACGTATGTTTATTGCGGCACTATTCACAATAGCAAAGACTTGGAATCAACCCAAATGTCCATCAGTGACAGATTGGATTAAGAAAATGTGGCACATATACACCATGGAATACTATGCAGCCATAAAAAAGGATGAGTTTGTGTCCTTTGTAGGGACATGGATGCAGCTGGAAACTATCATTCTCAGCAAACTATCACAAGAACAGAAAACCAAACACCGCATGTTCTCACTCATAGGTGGGAACTGAACAATGAGATCACTTGGACTCGGGAAGGGGAACATCACACACCGGGGCCTATCATGGGGAGGGGGGAGGGGGGAGGGATTGCATTGGGAGTTATACCTGATGTAAATGACGAGTTGATGGGTGCAGGACACCAACAAGGCACAAGTATACATATATAACAAACCTGCACGTTATGCACATGTACCCTACAACTTAAAGTATAATAATAATAAATAAATTTAAAAAAAAACAAAAAACAAAAAAACAGAGGGAGGGTTGTATTTTGTTTGCTAAGAGTCATTCACCATTTGGGACACCATGTTACTGACAGCAGTGCCCCTTGTACAGTGTTTGAGTGGCAACATAGCTCACTTGAGCAGGCTGCATTTCTATCTGTTTCTTTCTCAGGGAGGTGGCATAGTGGCCCAGGTATCAACTTGGGTATTATATTTCCTACTTTATTCCTGCCTGAGCATTTACCTATGGAGACACATACTGTTTTATTATAAATAAGTTTCCATTTATTTTTAAGTCAGAGCATTATGTCCACCTTTTAAAAATAATATGTGTAGAGAGGTTATATGATTAATTAGAACCTCTCTATGACTAATTACAACAGAATTATAATTCTGTTCTGGGTTGAATTGTGTCTTCCAAAAAAGATGTGCTGAAGTTCTAACCCCCAGGGCCTCAGAACATATTTATTTGGACATTGGGTCTTTACTGAGACAATCAAGTCAAAATGAGGCCATTAGGATAGGCCTTAATGCAAGATGAAGGGTGTCCTTATTAAAAAGGGAAATTTGGACATAGAAACACACATAGAAGGAGGATGGTGTAAAAGACAAAGGGAGGAAACAGCCATCTACAAGCCAAGGAGAAAGGCCTGGAATAGACTCTCACAGCCTCAGAAGGAACCAATCTTGATGACAGTTACGACAAGATTTATGGCCTCCAGAACTTTGAGACGATGCATTTCTGTTGTTTAAGCCAGCAGTCCCCAACCTTTTTGGCACCAGGGACTAGTTTCGTGGAAGATAATCTTTCCATGGGATGGGGTTGGGCAGGGGATGGTTTGGGGATGAAACAGTTCCACCTCAGATCATCAGGCATTAGTTACAATCTCATAAGGAGCGTGCAACCGAGATCCCTCACATGCGCAGTTCACAATAGCGTTTGCGCTTCTATGAGAATATAATGCCGCTGCTGAGTGGACAGGAAACAGAGCTCAGGTGGTAATGCCCGCTTGCCCACCACCTACTGCCTGCTGTATGGCCCAGTTCCTAATAGGCCATGCACCAGTACCAGTCCATGGCCCAGGGGCTGGAGACCCCTGGTTTAAGCCACCCCAGTCTGTGATACTTTGTTATGGCTGCCCAAGCAAACTAATACAATTTCATTCCAGAAAAGTAAGGAGGTGTGAAATGTGTTATACAAAGAGGATATTGGGTATGATGTGGTTGAGAACAATTCCTCTATTCAGACTGTCAAGCAGGGCTGCAGAAAATGGCCCCAAACAGCAATAATAATACAAAAATCAGGCTTGGTTTGGCAAAGGGCAACACCGTAATGGGTAATTTCAGTGTCAGAAGTAATCAAAGTATTAAATATCTAGCAAAAGAAAAGAAAAGTAAGCCTCCAACTATGGAGACTTCCTGAACTTGAGAGGGATTGACCACAAAGCTATTAAAGTTTAAAAAGAAAGAAAGAAAATCTATTTCATACTTGGAGAAAGCTCTTAAAACTCTTCTTGCTGTGGACAAATAGCCCCATTTAATGTGTGTATGGATTTTCACTGTTCCTGAAGCATTTCATGTACTTTGTTCCATTAAACTGTTACAACAGTCCCAAGAGGTACGCAGAGCAGATGAAACTATTCTCATTTTATATCTGAGAAATCTGTGGCTGTTAGAGTAATTTGCTCAGGGTCAAATAAACATGACATTTTTCTTTATTAACTAAAATTATTTTGGCTGCAAGAAATAGCCACCAATACCAATGTGAGTAACTTACACATAAAATAATTTGATACCTCAGATACTCCCAGCCAAGGAAGCCATGAGCAACTGGCCTTGGGAGGACTGGAGCCACAGTTCTTCCAGGGCTTTCTTTATCCATGCAGCTGCTATGTAGATGACTCCACAGCCCACCTCCAAGATCTAACTCCCTGATTGAATTTCAGATTTCCAGATGAGAATCTGACTGATCATTCAGGCATCTGACCCTGTGCCAACCAATTGTGCCCAGGCCAGGGAGGTCATCCAGTATCAGCAAGGCCTATAGGGTTTTGATCTTATGGTTTAGGGGGAAGTTTCTAGAGAGAGGAAAATCCTTATGTAGCTGAACAAGTCCAGAGAAAATCCATCCTTTTGGGCACTCAGCACACTCTAACCTTCCTGTGCATCCAGATATGCCCCCGGGTAACACAGTGCAGAACAAACAGGTACAAGCACACACCCACTTGCCGGGAGAAACAACTATAGGTATATCCAGCTAAGAGTCCATCGATGGGGGAACAGTGCATCTAACATCACTCCTTCTCTTCCTGGGCTCACAGATTAGCTCTATTTCCTAGTCTCTGGGGGAACTAGATGTGGCCTGTGACCGAGTTCTAGCCAGTGGGATATGAGCAAAAGTGTTGGGCATCACTTCCAAGTCTTATCTGCTTTGCTCTTTCCCCTTCACTGACTTGATGCATATTAATATAGTGACCTTGGCAGATTCTGTATATTATGGGAAAAAAAACAAAAAAACAACAACAACATTGAAGGAGCCTGGGTCCCTGAGTCAATTCTTGGAGGAGAGGCACCAGCAGATCAGGAACATATTTGGAATTTAGGAGAGCAAGAAATAAATTTCTACGGTGTTTGAGCCCTAACACATTCTTGGGTTTGGTTTTATGGCAGCTAGTGTTGCCTTACGCAATGCAGAGGATGATGCTCAAGACACATCTTTCAGAATGTTACCAAACTCCAGTTTGTGTTTGTTCCTTGCCCCTCATTCCATAACAGTCACTTCTCCCTCCTACAACCCCTACAGACTCCATCACCATCATTATAAATCATATAAAGAAATAGGGAGACAGAAAGAAGAAATCATCCTAGATATGAATCAAGAGACCGAGTTGCACACCTGACTTGGTAACTCTACATCTTTTGCTCATGGGAATTCCTTTTTCTCTGGGAACCACAGAAATGGGCTGCTGGCAGCTATGTTTATCCTGCATGAAATTGCCTCCTGAGGGCTGACTGGTATAGGAACAAATTCCTGACCTAAAAGGGCCAATCAACTTCTCTCTTTCAGGAATCTGAAATTTGAATGACAGAAAGAGATGATGAGATGAGGACCAACCACATTAATAGCAAAGTTCCAGAGGAAGGGTCTATTAACTCCTGAGGTTGACATCACTGGAACAGCATAGTTACTGTCTTTCTCGAGTGGACTCATTCAACTCTTCCCTGAATGAAATGATTTGCCAAGCAACCTTCTAATAAATTTCTGTTAATGCTGCAACTTTTTGAGTTTTTTAAAATTGAAACCAGAAGAACTCTATCTAATGAAGAAAGTCGTTCCAGAGGAAGGGATTTGTTGATCTTCACAGTACCCAAAGGAGGTGCTCTTCAACCATTCGCTCATTCATTCATTCATCCATGTATTTAGAAAATATTTATTGGGCTCCTACCATATGCCAGGCACATTGTGCTAGATGTTGAGGATTCAATGATGAATCTGGTCTCTGCTCTCCTGATGCTTGCAGCCTAGGAGAAAAGGGGACATTGGTTGGATAATCTGTCTCGTGAACATGCAGATTTTGAGAGAAAGATTCAGGTCTATGAAAGAGCATAGCAAAGGATGGAATCTAGACTTGTGGACATGAAGAAACAACACTTGCACTAACTATTGAATACCTAGTAGGCATTAACTCCTAGGAGAAATCAATGCTTTACCCAAATCTTTACAAAACTCTGTGATGGGAGCTTAAATAGAAGTACATAGGGAGTACCATGTGGCCCAACAGAAGTATTTTAATTTCTCTGAAAGCAATGGAAAAGGTGTCTCATAGTAGATGAGATTTTAGTTGAGGACAAAAAGGTTTTCAAAGAAGAAAATGGTGGAAGGACATTCCAAGCAGAGGGGAAAAAGCATATGCAGAGGCATGAAGGTATCAAAGTGTCAGAACAAATAGTTCCGTGTGGCCATAGGATTCAGGTGAAGGATATTTGTGAGGGAGAATTTCAGTAAGGAAGCTCGAGGGCCAGATTATGAAGGGCCTCATCTAGGTCATGCTAAAGCAGTACGATTTTATCCTGTGGGCAGTGGGGAGCCCAAGGAAGATGAACACAGGGAAGTGTACAGTGAGATTTGTGCTTTGGAAAGTTCATTCTAGGTTTCCTGAAGAACGGATTCAACCTGGGAGAGAATGGAAGATGACAGGACAATTAGGAGCTATGAACTGCCTCTGCTGTGTTAACAGCTGTTATCTGCTAAATGATCCACTAGAGGCCTGAGGTCTACTATAATCTCAGCATTCATGGGAAAAGAAACAGTTTGAAGTGTCTCCCCAAGCCTTCCTCTCCTACCTCATTCATCGCCACCATCTTGGTTGGCCCAAACTGCCTCAGGTGTGGCGTGTTGTGTGGCTCTTAACTGGTCTCTCTTGCTGTAATCCGCCCTTTTAATCTCTCTTCACGTTGCCAGCTGGTTATGCTCCTGGGACCTCTCAGCTGATCACATTCCTTCAACTCAGGGAGCTATCTGCTGCCTAAGGGTCAAGCCATAGTCCTCTCTTCCCCCACCAGCCTCTCACCCTTTGCTCACTAACACTGACTCTCCTTTACCTACATTGTCTTTAATTCTCACCTCACCCCCAAAGGAAACATTATTGTCCTTATTTTTTAGTCTCAGATAGGCTAAGTCACAGGTCACAGACAAAAGGCTACAGGCTGGTAAATTGTGGAATCACATTTTGAATTTAGACCTGGCTGACTCTGAGGCCCATGTCCTTTCTATTTGGGAATGCTAACACTGAACTCATGTTTTCCAGAGAAACAGAACCAGCAGGATACAATAATTGGCTCGTGTGATTATGGAGGCTAAGAAGTACCAGCATCTACTGTCAGCAGGTTGGAGATCTGGGAAAGCCTATTGTGTGATTCAGTGTGAATCCAAAATCCTGAGAACCAGGAGAGCTGATGGTATAAATCCCAGTACAAGGGTCAAAAAAGATGAGATATGTTATCTACGCTAAAGCAGACAGGCAGGAAGCAAAAGAGACCAAATTCCTGCCTCCTCTTCCTTTTGCTCTATTGAGGCCCTCAGCAGATGAGATATGAGATGGTGCCCACCCACAATGGGGAGTGCCATCTACTTTATGGAGTCCATCAATTCAAATGCTGCTCTTATCTGAAAACACCCTCACGGACACACACAGAAATGATTCTTAATCTGGGTATCCTGAGGCCTGTCAAATTTATCCATAAAGTTATCCATCACAACTCCACCCCTTGTCAACTTGGGCACCCATACATATCTCCTTAAACCATACTTAATCTCCAAATAAAGGTAATAATGAAGTCATAATTCCACCTAACATGATACAATCATCCTGCATACAACGAAAAATACACTGACTCCTTCCCCGGAAGATGAAGTAAAGTCCTTGAGTGATGTTTACTCTTTCCCTTGATACCTCTAATTTAAACACTGCAGTTTAAAATTCACAATACTTAAATACTATGACAAAAATCACTGGATCTTATGTGGCATGGTAAGGGAACAAGAGAGGAAAGAAAACAAAGATACACACACATGCACACACATACACACACACACACACACATTCATAGCAGAATGAGGAGGAAATATTTGTGACAGTTAAGTCCATTTCTGTAACTAGTTACATTATTGTAGCTGGTTTTAATCACCACTTTCTTCCATTACCCATTCTGTTTTCCCTTTGCCTTCAGCAAGCACCTCAGTTGGTTATCGTTCTTTACCCAGTGGGGCAACCCAAACATTCCTTCCCCAAAGGTCTGGGTCATTACCAGCCCAGCCTGGATTGACTGTTGTCATTTTCCATTGACCTTAATCACAGGACATAGTAATACTAAGAGATACCAGAAGGTATCTCCTATAATTCAGACATACTCTTCCTTACCTTCATTGTGGAGATATAGTACAATTTCCCGTTGGTAATCAGGACCAATCACCCCGCCAATACCACAGCTCCCTTCCTTGCCTGTGGTTTTTGAGGCATGAGGAGCCCAAAGTGGTTAGATAGCAGTCTTGACTTTCTGTTCAATGGAATCATCGCTGTGTCTCTTGGTAGAAGCATTCCTTCCTCCAGAAATAAGACCTCTAGCCCAGCAGAGCATAAGGTCATAAGAATAAGAAGCAAAATTTTGCTAGTGGGTAATAGTGAGTCACTCCAGTTTCCTTGGACCCAAGAATCCTGGCTATCAGAGAAGTAGCACCTTGTATTGGAGGATGATACAAAGCATAGAGAGCCTTCTGGAGAACCTTGCTCTAACTCTGCAAGGTATTACCACCCAGCTGACACTAACTGCATCTGCAAAAGGCCATTCCACTGTTCTATCAAGTTAGCTGCTTCAGGATGGTGGATAACATGGTAGGAAGAGTGAATTCCATAAGCATGGGCACATTGCCACACATCTTTTGCTGTGAACTAAGTTTCTTAATCAGAAGCAATGCTGTGTAGAATATCATGGTGCTGAATAAGGCAGTCTGTAAGTCCATGGATGGTAGTATTGGCAAAAGAGCTGCATACAGGCAAAACACATTTGTATCCAATATAAGTATCTATTCCAGTAAGAACAAAATGTTTACCCTTCCATCACAGAAGCAGTCCAATGTAATCAATCTGCCATCAGGTACTTGGCTGATCACCCCAGGGGATGATGCCATATCAAGGGCTCAGTGTTGGTCTCTACTGCCAGCAGATGAGGCACTCAGCAGTGGCCATAGCCAGGTCAGCCTTGGCAAATGGGAGTCTATGTTGCCAAACCCATGCACAATCTCCACCCTTGCCAACATGGCCACTTTGCTCAGGAATTCACTGGGAAATGACAGAGGTGGCTGGAAAAAGGATGGCAGGTATTCATAGAACAAGTCATCCTACCCATTATTAAGTCCTATTCTGCTAAGGTCACCCTTTGGTGAGCATTCATATGGATACAAATATAATCGCTTTTTTCACCTATTTATAGAGGTATGTCCAACCTACCTCTTCCAAATATTTGTCACTAACATTCTAATCTTGTTTCTTCTAAGTTCCTGACCATCCAGTCAGGATGACCCCAGCCTATGAATCAGTATATAATTGCATGTCTGGCCATTTCTCCGTCCAAGTAAAGTGAACCACCAGAAGTGTGGCTCAGATTTCTGCCCACTGAAAGGATTTCCCTTCGCCACTGTCCTTCAGGGATGGCCCAGAGAGGGCCTGTAGAGCTGCAGCCATCCACTTTCAGGTGGTGCCTGGATGTTGTGCAGAACCATCTGTAAACCAGGCCTGGGTCCTCTCTTCCCCTCTCAACTGATTCCCTACATGAAGCCATAGGGAAACTCCCATGAAGCTGGGAGAGAAGGCATAACAGGGGTGGAACCACAGACATTTGGGTCGCTTTTTCATGTAACTTACTTGTGTTTCCAGGGCCCACCTGGGACCAATCATATATACCACTTCATTTGATCATGGAGTGTTGCTTTATATGCCTGACTTTATGACTTGATGGGTCAGACAATACCCAAACCATGACGGGAAGCTCTGGTTTCATGGTAACTTGGTGGCCCACGGTTACATGTTCAGTCTCTATTTAAAGGCCCAGTAGCAGGCCAAGCGCTGTCTCTCAAAAGGAGAGTAGTTACCTTCAGATAATGGCAGGGCCTTGCTCCAAAATTTTAAAGCCCTGTGCTGCAATTTGCCTATGGGGCCTGCCAAAAGCTCCAAACAGCATCCCCATCTGACGCTGACACTTCAAACGCCATTGGATATCTGCTGGATCATATAGCCTGAGTAGCAGAGCAGCAGTCACAGCATCTGGGATCTAGTGCAGAGTGTTTTCTTTTTCTAGGTCCCACTCAAAACTAGCAACTTTTTAGGTCACTTGGTAAACGGCCACTATCTGGTTAAGTGTATCATAATCCACTGTCATTCTCTATGATCTGTTTTCTGCACAAGCCAAATAGGAAAGTTGAATGGAGATACAGTGGGAATCACTACCCCTGCATCTTTCAAGTCCTTCATGGTGGTACTAATCTCTGCAATCCCTCCAGGAAAGCAGTATTGCCTTTAATTTATTATTTTTCTAGGTAGAGAACATTCTAATGGCTCTCAGCCTTTCCTACCATAATAGTTCTCACTCAACATGTTCAGGGAACCATTGTAAGGATTCTGTCAGCTGCCAGCTGGCAGAATCCATTCCAGTGGTGAATTCTGGAACTCAGGGAATAACCACAGGATGGGTTAAGAGGTCTACTGAACCCACTGGAAGATGGACCTGAGCTAAAACTCCATTGATCATTCAACCTTGATCATCCACAGAGAAATTTGGGGTCTCTCCATTCAGAGCCAGTGATATGGTTTAGCTGTGTCCTCATCCAAATCTCATATTGAATTGTAGCTCCCATAATTCCCACGTGTTGTGGGAGGGACCTGGTGTAAGGTAATTGAATCATGGGGCAGGTCTTTCCCATGTTGTTCTTGTGATAGTGAATAAGTCTTAGGAGATCTGATGGTTTTATTCAGGGGAGTTCCCCTGCACATGCTCTCTTGTCTGCCACCATGTAAGATATGACGTTGTTCCTCCTTCCCTTTCTGCCATGATTGTGAGGCCTCCCCAGCATGTGGAACTGTGAGTCAGTTAAACCTCTTTCCTTTACAAATTACCCAGCCTTGGGCATGTTTTTATTAGCAGAGAGAGAACAGACTAATGCAGTAAACTGGTACCAGTAGAGTGGGGTGCTGCTATAAAGATACCTGAACATGTGGAAGCAACTTTGAAACTGCTAACAGGCAGAGGTTGGAACAGTTTGGAGGGCTCAGAAGAAGATAGGAAAATGTCAGAAAGTTTGGAACTTCCTAGAGACTTGTTGAATGGCTTTGACCAAAATGCTGATAGTGATATGGACAATAAAGTCCAGGCTGAGGTGGTCTCAGATGAAGATGAAGAACTTGTTGGGAACTGGAGGAAAGATCACTCTTGCTATGCAGAGACTGGCAGCATTTTGCCCCTGCCCCAGGGATCTGTGGAACTTTGAACTGGAGAGAGATGATTTAGGGTATCTGACAGAAGAAATTTCCAAGCGGCAAAGCATTCAAGAGGAAGCAGAGCATAAGAGTGTGGAAAAGTTTGCAGCCTGACAGTGCATAGAAAAGAAAAAAAACATTTTCTGGGGAGAAATTCAAGCCTGCTGCAGAAATTTGCATAAGTAACAAGGAGCCAAATGTTAATCATGAAGACAATAGGGAAAATATCCCCAGGGCATGTCAAAGACCTTCATGGCAGCCCCTCCCATCACAGATCTAAAGCCTAGGAGGAAAAAATGATTTCCTGGGACCGGTCCAGGGCCCCCCTGCTGTGTGCAGCCTATGGACTTGGTGCCCTGCATCCCAGCTGCTCCAGCCATGGTTAAAAGGGGCCAAGGTACAGCTCAGGCCATGCCTTCAGAGGGTGCAAGCCCCAAGCCTTGGTAGCTTCCATATGGTATTGAGCCTGTGGGTGCACAGAAGTCAAGAATTGAGGTTTGGGAACCTTTGCTTAGATTTCAGAGGATGTATGGAAATGCCTGGATGTCCAGGCAGAAGTTTGCTGCAGGGGTAGGGCCCTCAAGGAGAACCTCTGCTAGGGCAGTGCAGAAGGGAAATGTGGGGTCAGAGCCCCCACACAGAGTCCCCACTGGGGTAGTACCTAGTGGAGCTGTGAGAAGAGGCCCACTGTCCTACAGACCCCAGAATGGTAGATCCACTGACAGCTTGCATCGTGCCCCAGAAAAGCCACAGACCCTTAACACCAGTACATGAAAGCTGCCAGGAGGGGAGTTGTACCCTGCAAAGCCACAGCGGTGGAGTTGCCCAAGACCTTGGGAGCCCACATTTTGCATCAGCATAACCTGGATGTGAGACATGAAGTCAAAGGAGATCATTTTGAAACTTCAATGTTTAATGATTGCCCTGTTGGATTTCAGACTTGCATGGTGCCTGTAGCCTTTTCGTTTTGGCCAATTTCTCCCATTTGAAATAGGTATATTTACCGAATGCCTGTACCTCCATTGTATCTGGGAAGTACCTAACTTGCTTTTTATTTTACAGGCTAATACGTAGAAAGGACTTGCCTTGTCTCAGATGAGACGTTGGACTGTGGACTTTTGAGTTAATGCTGAAATGAGTTAAGACTCTGTGGACTGTTGGGAAGGCATGATTGGTTTTGAAATGTGAGGACATGAGATTTGGAAGGGGCCAGGGGCACAACTGTATAATTTGGCTGTGTCCCCACTCAAATCTCATACTGAAATGTAGCTCCCATAAATCCCATGTGCCATGGGAGGGACCTGGTGGGAGGTAATTGAATCATGGGGGTGGGTCTTTCCCATGTTGTTCTCACGATAGTGAATAAGTCTCACAAGACCTGATGGTTTTATAAAAGGGAGCTCCCTGGCGCATGCCCTCTTACCTGCTGCCATGTAAGACATTACTTTTCTCCTCCTTCCCTTTCTGCCATGATTGTGAGGCCTCCCCAGCATGTGGAAGTGTGAGTCAATTAAACCTCTTTCCTTTATAAATTACCTAGCCTCTGGTATGTCTTTATTAGCAGCATGAGAATAGATTAATACAGTCAGTGTCCAGCAGTCCCCAAAAGGTCTGATTATTTCCTTTTCCCTAATATACCCTGTTAAGGCTGTGTGTTCCTCTGGGGAAAGCTGGGAAAAAGATTAACAGTATAAATTTTCTATAGTATAATGAGGGCTCTTCCTTGAGCGGGCCCAGTCTCACTCAAGGGGTTCTGAGTCTGTAAAAGGCTCAAGTCTGGGAATTGATTGAGGGGTCATGAGTCTGTTTTTATGATTCAAATTAGACTTTTGTTCACTTGACCTATAACTTTTCTGCTTATACAGATCAAGTAAGAATTTAGTAGGCTTCCTATCTATTTCACTTCTATGAACACTGATCAATTAGCTAATGCCAGAGTCTGTAGGAGTAGACTGTTTTGACTGCTGCTTTGACTCTGCTGTACATTACAGTAACCCTGCCCACCTTACCTTTGACTGTTTAGTGCCACTACCTGGTCCCTGCCACCCAGGAATCTATTTATTCCCATTGTGTTTGGGTTTTCCAATTCAGTAACTGTGGTTCTCATTGTGAGGTCTGGTCTACAGAAAAGAGCAATCACAGAGGTCTTCAAGAATGTTGTGGCTCCTCTCACAAATTTACTCCTCACAGTACTGGTGAAATGTATGTCTTCTACAGCCTCCCAGTGTGGATGAGTAGATCCTAAATGACAAAACCGCTCTAATATTCCAATCTCCCTAAGCCTTTGATTCCCTCCCTCTACATTAAACTAAGGTAGGTAGGTCATTTCCAATTTGCTCACAGTGGGACACCTTTGGATCTATGTTTCAACCAATAAACCAACCAAACAAACTGTTAGAGCCATTTCTAACTCCATGAACTGCAATATTAGATGCAAAATCTCTGCTTAGTGAGCCCATGTCAATAAATTCAGCCTGATCCAACTTTATGTTCCTTCTATGATTATCCCACACTTTTAGTATACAGCCCTACACATGTTCCACAGACTTCTGCCTACAGTAATTTAAAAACTCAAGCAGTTCTTCTAATTATAATTACTCTCCTGGGTCACACATGGTTCACCTTTAGGAGCCTGTTAGAACTTAAGTCAAGTTATAGGTCTGGAAGCAAAGAGGGATGGTGGGAGTGGGTCCTGAAGAGAATCAGCATTGTCTTCCAAGGCAACTGCCTCAAGTGAAGTCATTACAATTTCCTCAGGCAATGCAGGGTTAATCCTCCTGAGACCCAAGTGGACAGGCTGATACCACCGAGATGATGGTGCCATTACCTGAGAGTGGGAAGGCCATGGTCACTGGGGTTGAGGAGGCCACTTCTGCTGGGGGTAAGGAGGTCAATTCCACTGGAGATAGGGAGACGTCTGCCACCTGCAAAGCAAAATAATCAGAATTTAGGGGCTCAGTGTCCCCAGCTTCATCAGGGTCTTCCCAAACCTCCCTATCCCAATTTGCAGGATCCCATTCTTTCCTAATCAATGCCCTCACTTTTACCCTGTGAGGCTGGGAGCTCAATTTGTCTTGTAATTCAGCCAGCTGAAAGATAAGATTCTGTGTTTGATTTTCAGCATTTCAGCTCTGTGGCTACACATGATGAGGGTCTTTTTTAGGGCATACCAAGAAGCTCTTGAGTCATTTATGTAGCACTTGTACTGGGAGTCCCTGTTCAGCACTTCAAGTCCCTGAGCTCAGCTCATTAGGAACAACCAACCAATTCACTATATTTGTTCATTTTCCAGAAATATTTGAAAGTATTATATACAGATTCACCTATATCCTTGCTTCTCATAGGTAGTTAAGTGTATTCTATGCAGGTATTTTGTGCATTTCTATAAACAGTTTATACCATGGACTGTCATTGTTCTCTTTACTACTGGAAATAGCATAATTAGTGTCTTTAAATTTAATCAGATTAGAGATTCAATTTCAGAAACCCAAGAACTTATTTTAGAAAATTCATATTTAAAATTCTGGCTCTCTAGAACTACTCTCAGTATCAAAATCTCTATTAGGGTTCTCCACAGAAACAGAACTCTCATGTAGGTCCTCTGGAAAACTCCAATATGGATTTTGATACTGATGTACATATATAGACTTATTATGAGGAGTTAGCTCACATGATTGTGGACATTGAGAAGTCCCAGCATTCGCTGTCTGCAAACTGAAGACCCAGGAAAGCCTCTAGTATGATTCCATTTGACTCCAAAGGCCAGAGAACGAGGGGGAGCTGAAGGTGTAAATCCCAGTCAGAGGGTCAGAGAAGATGAGAGAAGCTGTCCCAGGTCAAGTAGGCAGGCAGGAAGCCAAAAGAAGCAAATTCCTCCCCTCCCTTTTGTTTTCTTAAGGCCCTCAAGGGATTGGATGATGCCCATCCACATTGGGAGGGCAATTCTCTTTATTGAGTGCACTGATTCCAATGCTAATTTCATCCAGAAACATCCTCCGGACTCCGCTAGGAACAATGTTTAATCTGGGCACGCTGTGGCCAGTCAAGTTGACACATAATTAACCATCACAGCCAAGTAGCCATGTTTAATTAGGCCATGTTTTCTGAACTATGCACCCCCTCTGCATCCTAATATCTCAAGGGTTGAGCCAAAGTATTGCTCAAAGAATATCAACAAGTGCTAATACTGCTTTTTCCCCCAAAATCAAAGAAAATAATCAAATTTTAAAAATTTTTACATATGCGCCCTTTACAATTTTTAAAATGTCTTTGGTCCCTGTGACCAGTTGTCTAAACTAGAATTTAGTATAGGACACTGACTCTGCACTATTTATATAGTTATTTTAATTGACTGTCTCCTAAATAAGTTTGAAATTTACTGAAAATACCACATGGTTAGTGGGAAAAGTGGGAAATTAGGCCATTGACTATTGACATACACAAAGCCCTGAAAGCCTGACTCAGTCCAGTAGTGGTGTGCTAAGCACTGGGGAGACTTGAATGACTTTTGAGCTGAGAAGAAGCCCAATTACAGCTGTGCCATAGGAATACTTCTTTGACCACAGGGGCCAGGAAAGATAACAGCAAAACTTCTCAAAATGTGGTCTTCTACCAACTGGATCAGAACCCCCCAGGATCATTTTAAATGGGAACACCCAAGACCTCCAGTCAGAATTTCTGGGTGTAGGACCCAGGAATCTATATTTTAACAGTCTCCCAGATTTTAATGTACATTTTAATGTACATTGAAATTTATGAATCAGCAGATTAGATAGAGGAGAAGTGGGAGATATGAAAACCAGTTCGGTGGCTGCAGAGATTCTGCCAAAGAGAGGTGATGAGTGAATAAACTAGAGGGACTTGATCTAGAATGAAACAAGTAATAACACATGAAGGAAAAGCCAGCAATGGACAAGCAGCCAAGGGCTTCTGACCAGGGTGACCGAAGGATGGTGGGGCCATTAGTAGAAACAAGGAGGGTAGGAGAACAAGTTAGGAGGGTAGGAGAAACATATGAATTTGGTCAAAGATAATATATATGTTTGGATCTGGCCACTGTAAAAGTGAGGTGCTGGCAGGACGTCCTAGCAGGCACATGGGATGCTCTGTCATGAGCAGATATCTGCATGGTATTGTACGTCTATGGTCGACTCACATGCCTAGAAACCGAGAGACATAATGAAGCTCGGGCCATGGGGCAGGTCTTCTCGGAGTCTATTAACTTTCTCTGCTTGTGGCCAGAGATGACACCCATTGCCCGACAGCTATCTGCAGATTAGTCCATTAGTCACACAAAGGTGATGAGAACTGAGGAGAGGAAGATGAACTACCTGAAAACCAGCTTATGGTTCCCACCCCACCGGGTCTACCTGACAACAACATTTTCCAAAAGGTATCACAGTATTATTACTCTTGAGCTCTGGTTGGGATCTCTGTGCATGTCCTCATTGCAATAGTGCACCAGCAGTTCACTTTCAAAGGCAGCTTCAAAATCCTCACAGCTGTGTTTTAAACCCAGCCAATTAGATTTCACTGGAAAGTCAGTCAGGGCCAAAACCTGGGAGTAATTTCAAGGACACCTTTTAAGACCAAAAGGCAGCCTTTCAGAATTGACAGTTTCTGTAGATCCAAGTTACACAGAGCCTTTCATCTGCACATTAGCAGATGCAGGACTGGGAGGATGGACTGGAAGGACTTATCTGAAACTGGAATCATCAGGTTTCCTGAAACACACACATTTTCTTGTTTAGCTTCCCATCCACCAAGGAGGTCATCTGGGGAATATCACTGCCGGAAATATACCTAGAGGTTTTCAATTAAAATAAATTGCCTCAATCTTTGAAAATTATACAAGAACTGGCAGTGTCATACCAAGGCTACAAACTCACTCTCAGGCAAGCTCCAGGGTGACAAACTTCAGAAACCACAGATGGGGAATGAAATCCCTTCGATGCTCACAGCCTGCCCTCTGTGACCTTCTGAATGGAGTCACAGCGCCTGGTCCTCAAAAGCCCCAGGAAGCTGTCAGCAGAAGCTGTGGAAAATCCAGCCTGGTGATCAGTCCTCAGGCCTGCTTTAGTCTCCGGTTGACCCAAGGTCTTCCTGCCTGTCTCAGAGGACTCCTGGGGCCAGCTTAGGGATAGGCGGCATCACACATCCTTTCTGTAATCCACCAAGCCTAACTCATCTCAAGGACGGTAAGTAACCCTCAAGCACCTCCCAGGTCCAAACCCTCCCTGGCCTCTGATCTTTATTTCCATCAGACTCTCCTGGGCACGCAGAACAAGCAACACATTTATGTTGCTTCCCACTCTAGACCATAAACTCACTTGTATTTTTCCTTTCTGGAATTCCCCTGCTAGCTCTACAGCCCCAAGAGAGGAATTGTCCAGAGTTTGGATGAGTGACACTTGTATTGCTTACAAACTTTTCAAGATGTGAATATTTAAGATGATTCAGGACTATGCATGGTGACACATGCCTATGTCACTATATTAGTCTGCTAGGGCTGCCATAATGACGTACCACAGACTGGGTGGCTTAAACAACAGCTTTTTTGTTTTTTGGGGTTTTTTTTGGGTTTTTTTGGTTTGTTTGTTTTTGAGATGGAGTCTTGCTCTGTCGCCCAGGCTGGAATGCAGTGGCACGATCTAGGCGCACTGCAACTTCTGCCTCCCTGGTTCAAGCGATTCTCCTGCCTCAGCCTCCCAAGTAGCTGGGATTACAGGCACGCACCACCACGCCCAGCTGATTTTTGTATTTTTAGTAGAGATGGAGTTTCATCATGCTGGCCAGGCTGGTCTCGATTACCTGACCTCATGATCTGCCCACCTCGGCCTCCCAAAGTGCTGGGATTACAGGTGTGAGCCACTGTGCCAGGCCAAACAACAGTTTTGTTTTGTTTTAAATACAATTCTAGAGGCTGGAAGTCCCAGATCAAGGTGTCAGCAGGGTTGGTTTCCTTCTGAGGCCTCTTTCCTTGGCTTACAGATGGCCACCTGCTTCTGGTATTAATATTTTCACATGCTCATCCCTCTGTGAGTCTGTACCCTAATTTTTTTTATAAGAACACCAGTTAGATTGGATTAAGGCCCGTCCTAACAGCCTCGTTTAACTGTGGTTACCTCTTTAAAGACCCTATCTCCGAATTCAGTCCCCTTCTGAGGTCCTGGAGGTTAGGAATTCAAACATATGAATTTGTAAGGACACAGTTCAGCTCACGACAGCCACAGAGCATGCACCCAGTGGAAGTCCAAGCCCTCCTGTGCCTCGCCTCAGAGCCAGACTACCCACTGCCATATTCCTCATGAGTTGGAGTGAGTTAGGGAAGACAGAAAGTTCAGTTAAGTCAGCTGTTTCTGGTTCACAGCTCTGGTAGAAAGTTCACTGGGAAGAAGTGTTGGCAATTAATAACTGGCAGGCTCGGGTCCTCACCTGTTTAGACCCCCATCTCCCTTGTCGGTGGGCATCACCTAGTGCCTTTTACTGATCAGCTACCCTGCCTCAAAGCCGTGGCCCCCCAGCCTTCAGAGAAGAATCTCACAAAGCATTCACACACACTCCAGGTGACAGAAATTGCTGTGCCTGCAGTGCTCTAGTTACGTGTGGGACCCAAGCACTCGGTCCAGGCCTGCTTGGAGCACGTGTGATCTCATCGGACGGAGGAGGCCGCGTGGAGGGCCCCATGCGGAGATGGGCCCAGGCACCGACCAGAGCCTGCTGGAGGCTGCGTGCAGCTGTTTGAAGAGAATTAGTTTGACCCTCACAATGGAAGAGGCAGAACAGTTCAGGAAACCTACTCTAAAAGGGCAAAGATACCTACATCTGTGTCAAAGGGAAGCACTGCTATTGGTGAGAAAACACTGCAAGATGGAACAAGGTGTGGTACCGTTTAGAGGAGGGTCAGACCCGAGGCCCGGGTGAG